ACATGGATTTTATTTTGTTAACATGCATAAATCCGATAAAAATCGAGCGGTATCTTTTTCCTTTGCTTTTGCAACAAATATTGGTATTCATATAACAAATCGGCTGCAAACGTAAAAAATAATAATAATCATAAATAAATTTAATATTACTTTTATTATATATAATCTGTTGTATTATTTAACCCTTTTATTCTCTTTCCTGCAATTTTCTTCAGATTTATTTTTTTTTCCTTACTAGGGCCTAATGATACCTTATATTTCATCAAAGTGTATACGCTACTGAGAACTTCTACGGATAGCTTACTGCGCATGCACTGGGACTGTTAAAAAGCAGGAATACATATTAAAACATTAACAACTAACATATTAAAACATTCTAAAACCATTTAATATTGCAAATTTTACATATAAAAATTACAAATTAATTGAAATAATACAAAATAAGGGCGCACTGCCGCCATCTAGCGGCAAAGGTAGGAACTAACGAAGAGTGTGTTTCAAACGGCTGTAGTTCACCCTATTCGCCGGACAGATGGCGCCACTAGTACTTCCCATGAAAAGCAATAAAACTGAATTATCAATTCTAGCGTATTTAGACACATATTATGGCATTATTCCTATCATATTTTGATCGTAGATCACGATAATGATCATATTAAAGCCCAGGACTCCCTAGTTTTTCGAGAAAAATGGAATTTTCAATTTCGTTAGTTCCAACTTTCACCACTAGATGGACGGCAATTTTTTAGTCCATGAATTTGCGGTCGATGGCGCCAGCAAGACCGTTTCAAAATGATCGCGCGAAGATGTAAATTTTGAAGCACAAGTAAAAGTTCTGCTTTCACAGTTTTAAACTAATTATTTTACTATGAACTGCCAATTGTTATACAGTCTTTTTCATGAAATGACCCAGTTTGCTCTTTGCAAATTTGTTTGGAAAAATTGTAATCTAAAATAAAAAGACGAGTAAGTTTAATTATAGATAATTTGTTTCAATTATAGGGTACAGATGAACGTACGCTGAATCATGTCAGTACAATATCACGCAAATCATTACACATACAGACATTTTCGATCGATGTTATTGTAAACAGAACCACCCTTTCAAGAGAACTCAACAATACAAAATTGACATGACAGAATGATAGTCAATACTACAATATACATGTTACATCATCCATTGACCGGTATTAGCGTAGGTATTGTGACTATGAGCCAGCCGAATGGGATTATCAGCATGGAACGTGTACGAACAAAATGTTTCTAATAACACTTCATGCATCGAAGAATGCCACAGCTATCGAGATGCGATTCATCTCAATCATGTCACAGACATCGTGTCTGATTTACGCCCGTAGGGTCCATCGTGGTGTTCAAATCGCTCCCTCCTTTTTCCTCGTGTCACCTTCTTATTCTTCTTTTCTCTGCGTTCTGATGGATGCACCCTGTGACGTCTGCATTCATCTGTGAATAGATC